GGGGAGTGTACTATGGTAGAGGTGGCAGTGGGGATGACCATGGTAGAGGTGGGAGTGGGGGGTGTACAATGGAGAGGGCAGTGGGTGTGTACTAGGTAGAGGGGGCGTGGGGGAGTGTACTAGGTAGAGGTGGCAGTGGGGATGTACTATGGTAAAGGTGCAGTGGGGAGTGTACTATGGTAAGGTGGGCATGGGGTGTACCATGGAGAGGTGCAGTGGGTAGTGTACATGGAAGGTGGCAGTGGGGAGTGTCCAGGGGAAGGAGGCAGGGGTAGTGTCTATGGTAGAGGTGGCAGGGGTAGTGACTATGGTAAGGGTGGCAGTGGGTAGTGTCTTGGGAAGGTGGCATGGGTAGTGTACCAGGTAGAGGTGGGAGTGGGTTGTGTACCATGGGAGGGTGCAGTGGGTATGTACTTGGGAAGGTGGGAGTGGGGAGTGTACCATGGGAAGGTGGGGTGGGTAGGTACATTAGAGGGGGCAGTGGGGATGTACCATGGTAAGGTGGAGGGGTAGGTACCTGGTAGAGGGCAGTGGGGAGTGTCCATGGTAAGGTGGCATGGGTAGTGTACCAGGGAAGGTGGCAGTGAGTATGTACCATGGAGAGGGGGGAGTGGGAGTTACTATGGGAGAGGTGGCGGGGTAGTGCCCTGGTAGAGGTGGGAGTGGGTAGTGTACCATGGTAGAGGTGGCAGTGGGTAGTGTACCATGGTAGAGGTGGCAGTGGGTAGTGTACCATGGTAGAGGTGGCAGTGGTTTTGTGCACCATGGTAGAGGGGGCATGGGTAGTGTACCATGGTAAGGTGGCATGGGTTTTGTCCATGGGGGAGGGGGCAGTGGGTAGGGGACCAGGGAGAGGGGGGAGTGGGGGAGTGTACCCTGGGAGGGGGGGCAGTGGGGATGCCATGTAAGGTGGGAGTGGTAGTGTACCAGGTAGAGGTGGGGTGGGGAGGTACCATGGTAGAGGGGCAGTGGGTAGTTCCATGGAGAGGTCAGGAGTAGTGTACCGGGGAGAGGGGGCAGTGGGGAGTGTACTATTTGAGGTGGCAGTGGGGGAGGACTATGGGAGAGGTGGGAGTGGGTAGTGTACCATGGTAAGGTGGCATGGGTTGTGTACCATGGAGAGGTGGCAGTGGGTATGTACATGGGAAGGGGGGGGGTGGGTATGACCAGGGAGAGGGGCATGGTATGTACCATGGTAAGGTGGCATGGGTAGGGCCATGTAGAGGGGCAGTGGGGAAATGTAAACCTGGGAGAGGTGGCAGGGGTAGTGAACCCGGTGAGGGGGCAGTGGGGATGTACCATGGTAGAGGTGCAGTGGGTAGTGTACCAGGAGAGGTGGGAGTGGGGATGACCATGGTAAGGTGGCAGTGGGTAGTGTACCCTGGTAGAGGTCAGTGGTGTGTACCATGGGAAGGTGGGAGTGGATATGTCCATGGTAGAGGGGGGGTGGGATGTTTTACCCCCAAAGGGAGAGGGGCAGTGGGATTAAGGTGAGTGGCAGTGGGGAGTTACCATGGAGAGGGGCAGGGGTAGTGTACCAGGGAGAGGTGGCAGGGGTTGTACCCCGGAAGGGGGCAGTGGGGAGTTTTCCATGGTAGAGGGGCAGTGGGGAGTGTACCAGGGGAGAGGGGCAGTGGGTAGTGTCCATGGTAAGTTGGGCATGGGTAGGTACCATGGAGAGGGGCAGGGGTTGTACCATGGAGAGGGGCAGTGGGTAGTGTACCATGGTAGAGGTGGGAATGGGTATGTACCAGGGAGAGGTGGCAGTGGGGAGTGTACCTGGGAGAGGGGGCAGTGGGAGTTACCAGGGTAGAGGGGGCAGTGGGGAGTTACCATGGTAGGGTGGCAGTGGTAGTGTAAACCCTGGTAAGGTGGCAGGGGGGAGTGTACCAGGTAGAGGTGGCTGAGTGTGTACCATGGTAGAGGTGGCAGTGGGTAGGTTTCCCGGGTAGAGGGGTATGGGGTGTACATGGGAAGGTGGCAGTGGGGATGTACCCGGTAGAGGGGCATGGGGAGTGTACCCTGGTAGAGGGGCAGGGGGATGTACCATGGTAGAGGGGGGCAGGGGTAGTTCCCAAAGGGAAGGTCAGTGGGTGTGTACCATGGAAGGTGGCAGGGGTAGTGTACCATGGTGAGGGGCAGTGGGTATGTACCATGGGTAGAGGGGGCAGTGGGTAGGTACCATGGTAGAGGTGGCAGTGGGTGTGACCAGGTAGAGGGGGGAGTGGGTAGTGTACCCTGGGAGAGGGGGGGCATGGGTAGTGTACCCTGGGAAGGTGGCAGTGGGTAGTGTAACCCTGGTAAAGGGGCAGTGGGTGTGACCCTGGTAGAGGGGGCAGGGGTAGTGTACCATGGGAGAGGGGGCAGGGGTAGTGGGGACCATGTAAGGTGGCTGGGTATTGTACCCTGGGGAAAGGGGGGAGTGGGTGTGTACCATGGTAAGGGGCATGGGGGAGGTCCATGGGAGAGGTGGCATGGGTAGTGTACCATGGTGAGGTGGTGGTAGTGTACCTGGTAAAGGGGGCAGTGGGGAGTGTACCTGGAGGGGGCAGTGGGTAGTGTACCATGGAAGGGGGGCATGAGTAGTTTACAAAAAAAGGTGGCAGTGGGGGTGTACCAGGTAAGGTGGGGTTGGGTGTGTACCATGTAAGGTGGCAGTGGGGAGGTACCAGGTAAGGGGGAGTGGGTAGTGTACCATGGTAGAGGGGGCAGTGGGTAGTGTACCATGGTAGAGGTGGCAGTGGGTAGTGTACCATGGTAGAGGTGGCAGTGGGTAGTGTACCTGTAGAGGGGCAGGGGTAGTGCCCCTGTAGAGGTGGCAGGGGTATGTACCATGGTAGAGGGGCAGTGGGTAGTGTACCATGGAGAGGTGGGAGTGGGTAGTGACCCTGGTAGAGGTGGCAGGGGGGTAGGTAAAAAGGTAGAGGGGGCATGGGTAGTGTACCCTGGAGAGGGGCAGTGGGTGTGTACCAGGAAAAGGGGGAGTGGGTAGTGTACCAGGTTTTAAAGGGGAGTGGGTGTGTCCATGGAGAGGGGGGCAGTGGGTAGTGCAACCATGGGAGAGGGGGCAGTGGGTATGTCCCTGGTAAGGTGGCAGTGGGGGGACCCTGGTAAGGTGGCAGTGGGGGATGAAACCCTGGTAAGGGGGGGGTGGGTAGGGAACCCTGGTAGAGGGGGCATGGGTTGAATATGGAGAGGTGGCGTGGGGGTGTACCATGGGGAGGGGCAGTGGGATGTACCGTAGAGGTGGCAGTGGGTAGTGTACCAGGTAGAGGTGCAGTGGGGAGTGACCAGGAGAGGTTGGGGAGTGGTAGTTACCAGGTAAGGTGGCAGGGGTGTTACCCTGGAGGGTGGCAGTGGGGATGTACCCGGAAGGTGGCAGTGGGAGTGTACCATGGAGAGGTTTCATGGGGATGTACCATGGTAAAAAGGGGGGCTGGGTATGTACCATGGGAGGGGGCAGTGGGTAGTGTACCATGGTAGAGGGGGCAGTGGGTAGTGTACCATGGTAGAGGTGGCAGTGGGTAGTGTACCATGGTAAGGGGCAGGGGGTATGTCCCTGGAGAGGTGGCATGGGGAGTGTACCATGGAAAAGGGGCGGGGGTAGTGTCCATGGAAGGTGGCAGTGGGTAGTGTACCATGGTAAAAAGGGGGCAGTGGGGTAGGGACCAGGTAGAGGGGGCGTGGGGAGTGTACCATGGTAGGGTGGGAGTGGTAGGTACCCTGGAGGGGGGAAATGGGTAGTGTACCATGGTAGAGGTGGCAGTGGGTAGTGTACCATGGTAGAGGTGGCAGTGGGTAGTGTACCATGGTAGAGGTGGCAGTGGGTAGTGTACCATGGTAGAGGTGGCAGTGGGTAGTGTACCATGGTAGAGGGGGCAGTGGTATGGCCATGGGAGAGGTGGCATGGGGGGGTACCATGGAGAGGTGGGGTGGGGAGTGTCCAGGTAGAGGTGGCAGTGGTAGTGTACCATGGAGAGGGGGCAGTGGGGGATGTACCATGGTAGAGGTGGCGTGGTTGGGGACCAGGGTAGAGGGGGCAGGGGGTATGTCCCAGGTGAGGTGGCAGGGGTAGTGTACCAGGTAAGGGTGGCATTTGGTAGTGTACCATGGTAGAGGGGGCAGGGGGTGGTACCAGGGTAAGGTGGCAGTGGGTAGTGTACCAGGTAGGGGTCATGGGTAGTGTACCAGGAAGGTGGCAGGGGGTATGTACCAGGGTAGAGGGGGCAGGGGGTGGGTTACCATGGTAGAGGGGGGCAGGGGTAGTGTACCATGGAGAGGTGGCAGGGGGTTGTCCCATGGTAGAGGTGGCGGGGGGTGTACCAGGGGAGAGGGGTGGCAGGGGGTATGTCCCATGAAGGGGGGCAGTGGGTAGTGTACCAGGGTAGGGTGGCAGTGGTAGTGTACCAGGGTAAGGTGGCAGTGGGTATGTACCAGGGGTAGAGGTGGCAGTGGGTATAAGTCATCTGGGGACAATGTCGTCTTTATAAAAAAATTAACTGGGGGAAATATATAAACTTTCCTTACCAAACGCTTAATATGAGTTAAAAATGTATATGTGTACCCAATAGGAAAAAATTACGATTTTGTCTTTAAAAAACAATTTTTTCTTGCCGAAAAAGCAAGCGAAAATTTGTGTATGAAAAAAAATTTTTTAAAAACTTAGAACCCAACGAAAAAAAAAATATTTCATTGTGTTTGTTTATATTAAATTATTGTAAACAAGTATTTTTTAGGGTTTATTTGATACAAAATATTATTTTTTACATTTAAAATAAATAAAAAATAATCTTTAAACTATAAGGAAAATTTTAAAAAAGGGCTTAAATTTTTGATGAGCCTTGCAATTGACCCGTTTACCAAACGACACGATAAAATTTTTTTTAAAAAATTAATATATAAATTAATATATATATATAATAGCAAGGGGGAAACGCAAAAAAGGAAAAAACATTTCCCCTCACTCTTTAAAAGCCCTTCGCGGAAGTCCAGACTCAGCGACCTCGAAAAACCTCACAAATCGACATCTATGAAGACACTGACCGACCTTCGAGGATTGCTGTCTCCAGGAGCCACCAACGAGGAACGCCAGCCAATCATGACCCCCGTAGAACATCTGGACCGCCAATCAGAACGTGCTGCCAGGGATAACCAATCACCGTCCGTGAACGGAATAGAGCTGTCCACCAATTACAACGCGATCCAGGTGCCGCCACTGTGAGTGCTACAGTGTTGTATTAATGTTGGTAGAATTATCGACAATATGTTAAGTAAAAGGACACAAGTGCAACTAATGTGACATTTTATTGTGGCAACGTTTTGCTCTCCAGGAGCTTTATAAAGCCGTTACGGCTTGATAAAGCTTCTGGAGAGCTTTGTTGTAGAGGTGTGAGCAAAGATCAGACCTCTACAACACAACTGTCATCGAAGATTTGTTAAGTTATACCATGAATTAAGGAAAGATCCTGGACTTCACCTTACGAAACAAAGTAAATGTGATAGTAATTATGGACAAAGTAGATTATTGGGGAAAAATAATATATTATTAGAAGACAGGGGAACTGACGTGCCCCTTAATACACTTGTTGGTACAGATTACGTTGTGTGATTTACCTTGTCTCTTGTCCTCTGTTCTGACTGTCTCCTCGTCCGCTTCGTCTTTCGTAGTATAGTCTACTGCAGTGCTCCTCTGCCCACCTCTCTGAGCACCTTCGTTAGGTGTGTTAGAGGACCCAGTTACTACCGGCTTCTCCGTCCCCTGGAGATGTATTTTATCATAATTTATATTACCAATACTACCGTTATTACTTCTGATACTACTTACCACTATTACTCTTATTAATTTTACTACTTTTATTGCTATGGTTGCTACAACTGTGTTGATGACTACTATTACTCGTATTGTTATTATTACCACCTATCTTAATATTACTACTACCTCTTTCTTTTTTGCTTTCTTCCGATTTGTCTTCTGGTCTTCTCTGCCTTTCCTCGCTCGGTTGTTTGATCCTAGGAACACCGACGGTCGACCAGAGAGCAGCGGGTCTCACTCAGTTGTGATTTGGCCGACTAATCTAAATGTCATTTTCTGAGTGTAGATTATTTATGTTTTGTGACTTCGTAGATCATTTAGAAAACGAAACATTACAGAACATTATAGAAGTGACACTCTCTCTCCAGTGCGACGGCAGCCGTCCAGGATCCTCACGGAGGATTTTTGGGTCCTGAAACCTTCTTCCACGACTTATCAGGACCCAGGACGGACCCAAGAAGGACTACAGAGGACCCCGGAAGACCTATAGCGGACTCGATAGGGCGTAGGCCGGATCCAGGAGGCCTCAGACGGCCTCCACACTCGTGGACGAGGTCTGGTAAATGGTCTTACTGGCAAAGGTGGTGTGGGTAAGCACCTTATTCTTCCTCAACAATGTTCCTCTTCCAGCATTTTAATAGTCTTTTTTATTACGCAGTCTACTTCTTCCTGGGCCATATAGTTACCACCACTTTCTTGAATCAAGAGCACCTGGCTAACATAAAGACACCGTTAAGGTTCTGCAGTATACATTAATAGCTGAGGGACGTCCAACACGATGTGAGGTTTCCATCATCAGTGAGTTTTGAAAATGTTTGTCTTCCACATTTTTGTCCTCTTAACTATAAGACTATAAAGTCAAAATTATTGCCTATTGGAATATTGTACCTATATCTATTATGCAGAAATCTCGAACAAGCGTTGAGTGACAGCTCTAGGCCCTTCGTGTTAGAAGCTTGCAATGTTGCAGGAAAGAGAATGAAGTCAAAACAATCACGCTTCCTTTGGACGTGTTTATTTGGACTTCATCTTTTCTGCAACATTGCAAGCTCCTGATGATGTATTAATTGCAACACAAGAAACCTAGAGCTATCACTCAACCCCCCCCCCCTCGTTGTTGTTTTGCATCTATATCTATATTAAAAAAAGTACAGTATTTTGTATTATCGTTAGTTATACCCAAAGTCGAAAGTTTATGTAAGATACATTGTGAAGGTCACCACTTGTGAAGGTCACCACTTGTGAAGGTCACCACTTGTGAAGGTCACCACTTGTGAAGGTCACCACTTGTGAAGGTCACCACTTGTGAAGGTCGCCACTTGTGAAGGTCGCCACTTGTGAAGGTCGCCACTTGTGAAGGTCGCCACTTGTGAAGGTCACCAACTTGTGAAGGTCACCACTTGTGAAGGTCACCACTTGTGAAGGTCACCACTTGTGAAGGTCACCACTTGTGAAGGTCGCCACTTGTGAAGGTCGCCACTTGTGAAGGTCGCCACTTGTGAAGGTCGCCACTTGTGAAGGTCACCACTTGTGAAGGTCACCACTTGTGAAGGTCACCACTTGTGAAGGTCGCCACTTGTGAAGGTCACCACTTGTGAAGGTCACCACTTGTGAAGGTCACCACTTGTGAAGGTCACCACTTGTGAAGGTCACCACTTGTGAAGGCTTACTCAGCCCAGTAACAACTTCTGACAGTATTACCAAGGCTGGCTCCTCCTCAGGAAAATTAATGAATAGAAAAAGAAATAATAACAGACAAACATAAACACTTTATTATATAGAAAAT